TTAGTATCACACGATCGGGTTCACAAAACCGAATCGAATGCGTGACAACTGGACATTATACTATATAAAAATTCCACTAAATCCGGGAGCGCACAAACTGATTAACCATACACTCACCTTCCACCGGCTGATGTAGCCCGCTGAGTGGCATCAGGAAAAATTCTTAGGGTCACATAATGAAGAATGTGCGAATGAGCAAACCAGTGAGCTACGAGACGCCGAGGACAGTTGGTTCGTGATGTTCCTTTGTACGAAGTCGCCTAATTTTTCTCGTATTATTTTCCGACGGAGGTTTTAAATTTTCATCAAACTACAAATACTACTACCACAACCACCACTACTATGTGTTCCCAAAAGGCGATACTGGTCGAGGAGAGTTGTTTATGGCAGAACACAGATTGAACCTCATTACTTTTGCATGCATTACACGAAAACCTTATGAGAAACATGCCATCGCAACACATCGCGACACATAGGGTAATGGGTAGAGCAGGCAGTGTTTATTCTTCCCAAACATGTTACTTGGTCCTTGATGATCTTGTTCTATTTTTAATCATCGAAAGTTACCGACTACTCACAAGTGAGTAGTATCTCACAACGCTCCTCCTCCCGGCGGAAGGGATCTCTGCATGTCTTGATCAATTGACGACTGCTTCTTGGATTGTGCTCACGTTTGTCTCTGATTTTCGACGTTTGGCGGCGTCCTGTCCGACGTTGTATTATTGGATTCTGGAATTTCTTTTGTTGGTTTATTGCGTGTGCTGTACCTTTGCTCGTGCCATGTTGCGAGATCGTTCCGATGTACGCAACGGACTTCGTTCATCCGTTGAACTTTGTACACGGGATGGCGTTCTTCAACTATGTGGTATGGACCTTTCCATTTGGAAATTAACTTCCTCGAGGCAGGGCCGCTCGCGAATCCCCCCATATGCTGCTTATATTTTACTTTAGATCCAACCGGAAGCAAACTGGCCGTCCGTCCAGTTTGTATCCTAGACTTGCGCATTATATCCTCCCGCGCCTTCTCCAGGTTATGCCGGGCTTCGCGTCTTGTCTGTTGAAGTTGTTGCGGAGATAAATCGTTTCGCGGCCAATTGCCAACGTAGAGATCCACTGGCAGCTTCCGAATTCTTTCGTACATCAGTTGAAATGGTGTGTGTTTGGTACCGGCGTGCGTGGTCGCGCGGTAAGCCAAAAGTAGGGAAGGTAAGGCCGACTCTTAATCCCCTCCTTTCGCTGCCAGCCATTCTTTGATTGTTCTGTTATTGCGTTCCGTGAGGCCGTTGGTTTGTGGGTGATAGAGCATTGTGCGTATCTTTTTGATGCCTAATTTCTGTAAGCACGTGCGAAATTCATCACTCTCAAAGCACGGGCCTTGATCTGTCAGGATGGCTTGTGGTACACCATGATTCGCCACCATATGTTCCATCTGCAACTCTGCTTATCGTAGCGGCTTTTTGATCCGAGACTCCTACGGCTTCAATCCAACGCTTGAAGTGTTCCGTCATTACAACGATGTATTGGTGTCCTCTAGGGGACATCGGAAATGGACCCACAACCACCACCTACTACTACTATTACTACCTGAAAAAAGTCACAAACTACGCCGAATCTTTTGATTGTCTTCGAGTTACACGTCTTGAAGTTCAATAACGTATCTAAATCCGTTTGATTTCCAGCCGGTAGCGAGATGTATTATAACGATAGTCAATAATTGAGCTTCTCTACACATTTAAATTCAATAATCATCGGAACTAAAGGTCCCAGTAGTGCATATACGGATGATGAATATGGTTCAAAATATTTTCGGCATTGAGTTACTCACAGTAGAAAACTATTACTGTTCACTTATTATTCAATGATTACGAAGATGAATTATGAATGAGGTTTTGTTTGGATAAAATGATTTCATCTTACGCTATGCAGTCACTTCGTTTAACATCTGATCAAACAGCTTCCCAAATTGAAATTAATTACTTCGTCCGAAAGGCAATTCAGTTGTGTTTCTTTTTTCCCCACAATTCAGGCTGAAATAAAACCCTTTTTCGATCAAGTGGACGAGGCTGAACAAATACTTTTGACAAGTGATCGATCGGACTTGGCCATTGAACTCCGACGACGTCTAGGTGATTGGTTTCGTGTGGCCCAGTTGGCCAAAGATTCGGGTGCATTGGTCAAAGACGCGGATCTGGCAGAGATTTGGAATTCAATTGGTGATCACTTTGCCGATCAATTGTCTTGGTGAGCTGAAGTAGTCTGAATAGGAATCGGATTCAAATAGCGCGAACTCGGATTCGAACTTAAAACGCACTGAATAGCGAAAAGTCAGGTAGAACCAACACGAGCTGTGAATGCAGTTATTGCTTTTCCAAAATTTATGCAAATAAATATCACAAGCATCCAACAATCATCGGTTGTTTCTCCAGTGTCCAGTCGACAACGATATGGTTGACCTGGTTGCCTTCTGGCATCTAGCCAATCCGATTGGTGCCAATTGAGACCACAGGATTGGACGGTTAATCCGTTTCTTGATTGGTTGCCTGTAAGCAGTACCGTGGTGCGTGCGTACTCGTTACACGATCACCACATAAACCCACCAACTTGATTTAGGGATGCGCAAGTGAATAGCCGTATTCCGTGTAACCAGACTCGTATTGGTAAGCACCAACCGTCATCGATGTGAGCACTGCCGTGCATGTGGTCACGTGTTCCTCGCTGCAACACCCATCACGTGTCACGCTCAGTGGTTCCGATAAGGTCATTTGACTGTGAGTAATTATTGATTTGTCATTTAGGAGAAAAGTCCCCTCTTCCGTCTTGTAATAATGCTCTTTCTCGTCGAAAGCGTAAAGCAACAAGTCGCTGTTAGCTCGCCCTAATGCTTCAAACGAAAATTCTATGCCCTCAATCGCTGCAACATTTATCTCTATGAGAATTCGATCCCACGGGTAACACTAAGTAACCTTAAAAGTCGTGTACAATAAGTCGATCTGGCTAACTGGTTAGTAACAGTATTTTTCCACCACATCGAAATCGATTCGATTGCAAAAGCTACAAAAGATGGTTTTGGAAGATTAGCAGGTTTTGGTGTCTATTCATGTGACCCTAGCGGGAGCAATTTATTCCATTGGACAGAACGACAGTGAACCGTAGTCAAATATTTTTCTGCTAAATGTTTTCCAATCGGTTGAGAAAATGAAGATAATGTGGAGTATAAACTCCTCACTTTGGATTGATGTGACAAGATGCGACACAGGATAAGTCATGGTTAAGAGGACATCGTTTTATCAGAGTTAGTTAGACAACCAATCCACTCACGGTTTATTGTGATAGGGTTTTGTTCTTACCCAGGTGAACAAGAAAAGTGCTTCACAGGGAAAATTCGTCGAGTGTTTAACAAATGAAACGTGAAATGAACAGCTAGGTACCATTGGACAGCTGTTTCGTCCTATTTGGTTCTTATCAGCAGTGCCAACCCATCAACCCAACTGGGGATCGAACCCGGTACCTCATGGGTAGAATGCAAGCATGTAACGCACTCGGTCACCGGGCAGCTGATCAGACCGTTTTTCATCATCCATTTACTATATAGCACAACCAATCTTTGCGAGCCTGTAGTGTGCATCGCGCCTCTCTCATTTCAGCACTAGTCTCCAAGATTGTGCTACATCGTACAAATGGAAAATGAAAATCGGTTTCATCGG